CAGCCCTTCCTCCTCTCAGAACGAAAGGACCCGGAAGTGTGAAGTGAGTGAATGAATGAGCACGGGGACCCGACTCTGTACCGGAAACCACACCCAGCCGTTTGCCTATGTAGCCAGGACCATTCTACGTGATAGATTATATCCAGGGTCAGAGAGGTTAAGTAACTTGCCCAAGGTTACACAGCACGAAAGTGGCGTTTGATTGCTGTTGTGGCTCCCAAACCACACAGATTCTTTCTTCTCTCTCTCCTCTTCTCTCTCTCTCTCTCTCTCTCCCTCTCTCTCTCTCTCTCTCTCTCTCGCAATCTCTCTTTTAAATTTATTCTCTTGTGTGTGTTTTTCTAATTCCCGGAACAACTTCAAACATTTCCCTTCATTTTTAATGACATTTATTGTTTCCCCTCTAATTTTATAAGCCGTCCATGTTCACTGCAGACGCCTGGAAAAGACATAAAAACATAAAGTAAAAAATAACAATCTCCCATAATCCTCACCCCCCAGAGACAACCCCATTAGCATTTTGATGTATTTCCCCCAGAGTCTGCATTTTTTTTGTATAAAATTGGGAGCATGCAGTATTGCCAGTTCTGCACCCTGCGTTTAGTTCAAACTATTTGCTGTTCTGAGTAAATTGTTTTGTGTGTGTGTGTGTGTGTGTGTGTGTGTGTGTGTGTGTTTTAAACCAACCTCAGTCTGTAATGGCTGCATACACCCATTCTTAGGTGTTTGCTTTTATTGGACCATTCCCTGCTTCCGGGCATTCATTTCTAATTTTTTTTTTTTTTTTTTTTTTTTTTTTTTTTACTAATAAACATGTCATTGCGGTGAATATCTTCCTGGGTAAATCTTTGGGCTGATTTCTGCTTATTAGATTCCCAAGAGGGAGTTTCGGGGGCAAAAAGAAACAGTTTCCAGACCTTTCAGACATATTTTGAAAGTGTGCTGCGGAAGGCGTGCCCAGCTCACCCTCCGACTGGGAGGGAGGAAGCATGAGTACGCCACTTCTTAACCCTGGGTGCTACCGATGGAAAACAAACACGCACACAAACCCACAGAAACAAGGACCTCTCTCAAGCCAGAGGTTTTCCGCTCGGCGGTGACTGTATATCGGATGATAATTCCCCATTTTGCGATGGAGGATGGGGACCCAGAGAACAGAAGTAGACGTACTCGGCCTAGGTCAGATGCACGGACCAGCCAAGGAGAGGCAGCCTGGGACACGGCATCCTGGCTCTGAGAGCCTCTTCCCTGTCCCCTGGTGGAGAGCTCCCCCCACTGCAGGTCTCCGGGGTCAGGGGCCTCCCCGCTAGGCCACGCCCCTCCTGCAGGCCTGGAGGTCTGGGTTGGGAGGGGTCTCTGGGCACAGCCCATCCCTGGTCTCTTGGTCATGGACCACGTGGCCCCTAGGCTCCTCACCACCTGTATCCTCTCTCCCATTCATGTATAGGTTTGGCAGGGGCACGGGTCTAGGCTCTGGGCAATCGATCATTCACTATCAGCCACAGCCTCTTCGGTATCTCCCAACCCTTCCTGCTTAGCCCCGAGTTTTCCAAACTTCTGTGATGATCACAGGCCTGGGATGCTGGATAAGCATACGAATCACCAGGTCTTTCATCTGCCAATTGACCGTGAGCCCGGTTCTGGCCCAAGAATCCATTGGCTATTGTGTTGTGTGTTCCGGCTGATTCTTACATGCAGGCAAGTTCAGGAGCAAGTGGGGAAGGATCCCCAAGCACTGACATCTGGTGTAGTGCTCACACACACACACACACACACACTCACACACACACAGCTCAGGCCCCTCGGGCCCTGCTGGCCGCCCTGCTGTGCCCTTTAGCCTCAAATTCATCAAAGCTAATGACAATCTTTTTTTTCTTCTCTGATTTGCAAGCGATTAGTTTTAATTTTGGGACAATTAGAGGTAGACGTAGGAGGCATCTGATCTTGATTAGAACCAGGGAGATGGCCAGAGGCACCCCACCTCTCCCTCACCTGGCCCTCACCTCCAGGCAGCTGAATTTATGTATTCAATGTTGGAGGATAAGGGAGGGGGGGGGCAGGCACTGGCTTCTGGGGGAAGTGGCCAGAGACCCATGCTGTGCTCCCAGAGACCTGGGGCCAGCCTGAGACCATCAGGGAGTGCCTCTGTCCAGCCCCTGGCCCCGTCAGAGGGTAGAATGGACATTTGCTAAGTACCTACTGTGTGCCACCCCGCGTACTATGCAAAGCGGGCCCAGACCCAGTGTCTGCCCCTACCCTAACCCAGCTGGGAAGACCAACGCATAGACAGCTCCATGGCTCCTGGTGTTGGAAGTGGCTGGAGAGACTTCTGTCAGCACCGGCAAAGGGGCACTCGGGCCAGCACCCTGGCCCCAGGGAGCATTGGCAGAAGTCACTGATGGGATCATTTGCATCTCGCACGCACACCGGGTCGGTCAGGCGGAACCAGAGCTGGACAGAGCACAGCAGCAGCAGCACACCACCCAGGGAATACCCAGGCGGAGGCAGTGAGAGGCCTGAGGGAAGGCTTCAGGGAGGAGGTGATGCCTGGGCAGGTCATGAAAAGATGGCGGGACCCCCACCCCCTGCTACATAAGCACTAGCACGGTTGTGGCCCAATGCCATCTTGTCTGCTCCCCTTTCTGAAAGCTGGCTGTTTTCTCAGGACAAGTCACTGCCCCTTCTCAAATCTCAGTCTCCTTATGGTCAAGGTTGCTGGGAGAGCCCCATGCTGGCAGCCCTTCCCTCAGAGGCCATCCAGGCTCCTCTGGCGCAGACACATCTCTCCAATTCCTCCCTCCGCGCCCCTCCGAGTCTGCTGCCCAGCTGGTGGCCCCTGCCCCTGCCATGCCGCCAAGGGGTCCAGATGGCCAGCCGTGAGGTCGGGCCGGTAAGAGGGTCAAAGGGGACTGTGTGCCACTTAGCAGGCTCTGGGGTCTCAGACGGAAGCTCAGTGAGGCGGGGCCAGTGGTCTGACTTCCGCACCCCCGCCCTGTCCACTGGCCTGGAGAGTGGGCAGATTACAGCTCCCTGACCACCCTGCCCTTCTCCACCTGCACCTAACAGTGTCCCTCCTCCCTCCTTGGTTTCTTGTGGCTGTTCGCAACGCCCCTGTGAGGGGGCTGATGTCACCACCTCAGTGTTAGAGGTGAAAACCGAGGCTCCTCATGGAAGCAACGCGCTCACCGAGTGCGGCAAGGAGCCTTGGACTTGCATCCTCCCCAGGCCTCCGTCTGCTTGCCTGCTTCCTGCTGCTTCCAAAGCAGCTTATCGGCTGCTGGTCCCTGGCTCCGACCCTCATCCTGGGCTCCCACACGCGCCTTGGGGCCAGCCTCGTGCCAGGCGGCAGGGGAACCTCCTCAGAGCCTCTAGGGGTAATTGTGGGGCGGGGTTCCAGGGACCTGCCCTGCCAAACAACTTCCTGTCCTCATTTAGGACCCAGCTGCCCACCTCCACCTCACCCTCCGCAGCGGCACACCCTGCAGGCTGCAGAGGAGGGCAGCGTGGTCTGGGAACCCCGTTCTGGGAATGCAGGGAGTATTGAAGTGAAGCCAGACGGGCCTGGGCCTGGGGATGGGAGACAGGGGTCAGTCTGGGACATACCAGCGAGTTACAAGGTGGAATTGCACCCTAGCGGGCTTGGCTCAGTGGATAGAGTATCGACCTGCAAACTGAAGGGTCCGAGGTTGGATTCTGGCCAGGGGCGCATGCCTGGGTTGCAGGCTCGATCCCCAGTAGGAGGCATGCAAGAGGCAGCCAATCAATGAGTCTCTCTCATCATTGATGTTCCTGCCTCTCGCTCCTACTCCCTTCCTCTCTAAAATCAATAAAAGAAATGTATTTAAAAAAAAAAAAAAAAAAAAAAAAAAAAGGTGGAATTGCTGGAACCTGGCGGCTCCTGCGAAGATGAGGGGAGGGGTCTGAGAGGAGGGAGAGGTCAGACATTTGGGTTTGGAGACTGAGGAGGATCGAATTCCCTGTATCTATAGGGTGTGGGTATGGAGTACGGGGGAGATATGGGGTTCCTGGGAACCCACACCATCTGAGGCCGCTGGGCCAGGGAAGGGCTTGGGTTGGAGGGTCAGGCGGCCCCGGGTTCGGGGGATAAGTTCCATAAGCGTCTCGCACGTTTTATCCGTACGATGTAAAAATAGGTTTTCAAAAAAGAGAAGTTATTGACGGAAAACCGGTTCAGTCAATGGGGATTGTAATCATGTTTGCTCAGGGGATTGATCTGAGGATCAACTAAGCTAATGCAGCTGAGCCCTCGGGAGGCGATAACGGTGAGAGTTCACACTTCCTCGGCACCTCCCTCCGCGCTCGCCCTCGGTGCCCATGACTTCAGGAAGTCCTCAGAGCCGCTCCTCGAGGCAAAAACATGTTATCCTCGTTTCACACGAGGATGCAGGGGGATAAAGCCTCTTTTTTTATTTTTTTATTATTTTTTTAATATTTTATTTTATTGATTTTTTTTTTTTTACAGATAGCAAGAGAGAGGGATAGAGTCAGAAACATGTTTGAGAGAGAACATCGATCAGCTGCCTCCTGCACACCCCCCACTGGGGGGATGTGCCTTTGACCAGAATCGAACCGGAACCCTTCAGTCCGTAGGCTGACGCTCTATCCACTGAGCAGCCACACCGGTTTCGGCGATAAAGCCTCCGTAAAGCGCCGAGATGCTCTGGTGCGGGAATTAGCTTGACCCCCACGTGGCAGGTGAAGAAACGGAGCCCGCACCAGGCCAGGGGGGCAGCTCCGAGAGGGAATGAACATACATGCAAAAGTGGGGCCAAGCTTAGAGCCTGGGCAACCTGGCCCTGGCCCTCCCCTCTCCCCCACAGGTCCTAGAGCCAGGCTGGGCACTGCCTCCCTCCCCCCCCCCCCCCGGCCCCGCCCCGTGGAGTGGATGGCCCTGGGTGAGCGTGGCAGACTGGAGTGCCCTGGGGTCCGAGCACAGCCTCTCCTGACCACCGTGGGGTCTTTCTTCTGTCTGTCCCCAGCCTCCGGCCGCTCCCACCCAGCCAGCCCCAGCCCGCCGGGGCCCCAGGCCGGCCCGGTGCTGCCCATCAGCTACCGGCTGTCCCACACGCGGCTGGCCTTCTTCCTGCGGGAGGCGCAGCCCCCGCCGCCCGCGCCCGCCAACGGCTCCCTGCAGCGCTCCGAGCCCTTCGTGGTGTTCCAGACCAAGGAGCTGCCCGTCCTCAACGTGTCCCTGGGGCCCTTCAGCACCAGCCAGGCGGTGGCCCGGGAGCTCCTGCAGCCGTCCAGCACCCTGGACATCCCCGGGCGCCTCACGGTCAACTGGAAGGTGCGGGCCTTCATCGTGCGCGCCCGCGTGCCCGCCTCGCAGCCCGCGGCCCAGGTGCTGTTCTACGTGGCCGGCCGGGACTGGGACGACTTCGGCGCCGCCGAGCGGCTGCCCTGCGTCCGGCTGCACGCCTTCCGGGACGCCCGGGAGGTCAAGAGCTCCTGCCGCCTCGGCGGGGCACTGGCCACCTGCCTCGTGCGGGCCGAGCTGCCCCTGGCCTGGTTCGGGCCCCCCGCCCCGGCCGCGCCGCCCACCGCCCGCCGCAAGCCTCCGGAGGGGCTGGAGCCCGAGCTGACCGGGGAGAGCCAGCAGGCCGAGCTGTACTACACTCTCCACGCCCCCGACGCCTCCGGGGGCTGCGGGGGCGCCCGGCGCGGGGCGGGGGCCGGGGCTGGGGCCCGGGCGGAGAGCCCCACCCAGCACCCGCTGCTGCGCATCGGGAGCATCAGCCTGTTCCGGCCGCCCCCCCGGAGGGCCCTGCAGGAGCACCGGCTGGACAGCAACCTGATGATCCGCCTGCCCGACCGGCCCCTCAAGCCCGGGGAGGTGCTCAGCATCCTCCTCTACCTGGCCCCCAACGCCTCCTCCCCGTCCAGCCCCAGCGTGCAGCACTTCACACTCAGGTAGGCGCCGAGGGGTCAGGGTCCGGCTTCCCCCTGCAGGGGCTTGCCCCGCCTGCCTGTCCAGCATCCACATCCCCGCTCCTCCATCTGTCACTCGATCGGCCTCAGGAAGACACGTCACTTGTTTGGGCCTCCGTGGACTCATCTGTCTAACGGCCACAGACACCCCTGCCCTGTCTCCGTCTCTCGCAGAAACGGCATCCCGGTGAAGGAGAAATGCCCGCTTTCCCGAGCATGGACATCCAAAAGGATAGAACCGGGGCTGGAAGGACCCTTAGGCATTAGCTGGCCCAAACCTCCCATTTCACAGATGAGGAGACTGAGGTCAAAGCGAGGAAATGGAGATCAGAGAGCAGCTCCTTGCTGGGAGCCCAAAGGGATGTGTGTGTGTGTGTGTGTGTGTGTGTGTGTGTGTGTGTGTGTTTGGACATCTGCCCAGGCCTAGAGTCGGGAGAAAGCTTCAGGAATTCAGCTCTGCCTGTACCCTGAGGAGGATATGGCTCACCATTCAGAAATGCCTTGAATAGTATCACATCCCCACAAAACATAATGATGGAATCCATGGTTTGAGCCACGTTGGATGACTCTTAGGAAAGGCCCCACCAAAAACGCCCCCTGCTACCCCAAAAATAGGACCTGGAACATGACCGTTAGCTTCTGGCTTCTTTAAGCATCGCCCGCTCTCCTGAGTGTGCTTAAGGTTCAGATAGTTCAGGAAGGGATCATACCCGATTCAGTGATTGATACCTGAATGTGAATGGGCATTAAGTCAGTCACCAGAGAGATCTTGGGCTGCATTACCAGGAGTAGAGCATGCAGAATGAGGGAGGTGATAACCATTCTACTCCAGACGGCATTCATTAGAGCACGGCGGAAGTATTGCACGTAGTATGGGACACTACACCATGTATGCTCGATGTCCCGAGGCGGGTGACTGAAATATGAGGGACTTGAAACTCTGGCGAAAGCAGTGGTTGGAGGAACTAGAGATGTCAGGCCCGGAGGAAAGAAAACTCAGAAACCTGCTCCCCTTCCCAGCTTCCTGAAGAACTGCTGCAGCCAAGAGCAGAGTTGTTGTCTCTGTTGTCATATTTCCGCTAAGCAGAGGGAAGGGGTTCTAACCCTTAGGGGCTCCCTGAGAAGCAGCGAGGCCCCTGTCGCGAAGGCCTGTAAGGAGAGGCAGGGAAAGGCTTACAGAGATGGGGCGGAGCTGACTGCAGCTTCCACTGGGGGTCAGGGGCTGTAGCTACGATACCATACTCCCCAGAAAAGACTCAGCTTTGAGTCTGGGGCCCAGGGTGACTTACTCACCTGCCTCCCCCTAGGGGCCGTGACCAGGTGGGCAATTGTTGGGCCCCAGGCAGACTCTCTCCTCCTCCTTCCTCCCTCTTTGTCCCAGGGTGAAGGCCAAGAAGGGCGTGACCCTTTTAGGCACCAAGTCACGGAGTGGCCAGTGGCATGTGACCTCGGAGCTGCTGACGGGGGCGAAGCACTCAACAGCCACCGTGGATGTGGCCTGGGCCCAGGGCACACCCCTGCCCCCGTGGTGAGCCGAGGGACGGGCCCCTGAGGATGGGGGAGTTCTTGGTGGAGGAGGCCAGGCTTGTGGAAGGGCTGGGGCTTAGTTTGTGGGGCCTCTGAGTCCAGGTGGGGCACCTCTGGAGGCTGGACAAGGCTCGGAGGGCCCCAGGGGGCAGGCTGCCGAGGGGGGCTGGGGTTCAGGGCCCGGGTTCCGCTCCCAGCCCTTCCTCTCCGGCTCTCCCTCCTTCCTGCCCCGGCAGGGAGGGCCAGGGGCCCCTGGAGATCCTGCAGCTGGACTTTGAGATGGAGAACTTCACCAGCCAGTCGGTCAAGCGGAGGATCATGTGGTACATCGACTACCGCGGGCACGGCGCGCTGCCCGACCTGGAGCGGGCGGTCACCGAGCTGACCGTCATCCAGCGGGATGTGCAGGCCATCCTGCCCCTGGCCATGGTGAGCGGGGCAGGTGGCCGGGCCCGTGGGCGCGCGTGTCTATCCTGGATGCATGTGTGACGGGAATGTGCACGGCCCCGTGTGCATGGCGGTCAGTGCACATGCGTGTGTGAGTCAGTGTCTGCGAGTACGATTGCCTCCTGAACCCAGGTGTGCACCTGTAAACGTGTGTGTGTGTGTGTGTGTGTGTGAGTGTGTGTGTGTGTGTGTGTGTGAGTGTGTGTACACGCACTCCAAGGCGGCAGCGGCACTCTGCCTGGTACTGGAGTGGGACAGCCGATGCTGAGGGGGACAGAGGTGGGAGAAGTCACCCAGGGAGGGACCGTTTGGGGGGTGTTTCCTGGGGGAGGCGGCCGTGCAGTTGAACCTTGAAGGCCGTGTGGGGGAAGGGCTCAGACAATCAGAGAAGATGAGGGGGAGCTTTGGTCAGGGGAGCGTGCAGGCGGAAGGTGCACGATGGGAATGGGAGTGGTTGGTCGAAGGGAGCCATGGCTTTAGGAAGAGTGCGTGAGGGTGATAAGCTGGAATGATGGGTGATAAGCTGGAATGATGGGTGATAAGCTGCAATGATGGGCTGGGGTCAGCCCAGGAGCACCCTGAATGGCCAGGCACAGGTGTCGGACTTCCCTCCGTGAGTCCTGGGGATGGGGAGCGTGGAAGACGCCGAGAGAAGGTGGGAGGGGACTTGGGAATGGTTGGTTTGGGGCAGCAGAGGGAGGTAGACCGTGGACGCTACTGCAGAAGACCAAGAGAGCTGAGCATCTGAGGAGGTGCCAGGCTGGGTGGGTGTACCTCCCTGCACACGTGCGCAGGTGTCCCGTGGGAGGGTGCTCCCCTGCGAAGTGGGGGCAGTCAGGAAGCCGGGGCCTTGGGTGGCGTGTCCCGGTGGAAGAGGGATCTGCAAACATCTGGCTCAGCAGAGCTCCACCCTCCTCTCCTCCTCACAGGACACCGAGATCATCAACACGGCCATCCTGACCGGCCGGACAGTAGCCATCCCTGTCAAGGTCATTGCCATCGAAGTGACCGGCCTTGTCCTGGATGTTTCTGCCATGGTGGAATGTGAGTCTGACAATGAGGACATCATCAAGGTGAGCTTCCTGGGGGGGGGGGGGGACGTGGGGAGGGCTGGGAAGAAGGCCTTAGACCTTCAGGGGAGGGGAGCCCCAAGCCAGAGGGGAAGTCGCATCCCATGCAGGTTCCCTGGGCAGGCAAGGAGACTTGAAATCAGGAGCAGGAGTGGGGAAGAGCTGTGGGCATCCCTCGTTCGGCCTGAGTGGGGTGAGGGGAAGCCCTGGGGACTGTCCTGCCAGTCCTGGAGGGCTGCCTGTAGGAATGGAGAAGAGCCTGTTTGGCAGACCATGGGGAGAAGGCAGCATTACAACTGGAACTCACTCCAGTCTGGCAAGTGGTGATGGAGCCCCTGATGTGTGGCAGACACTGTGAAGGGGCAGGGGCGGGGGGCCTCAGAGACATGCTCTGAACCTGGATGCTGGCTCCACGGGGAGGAGATCCAGCACAGGGAGGAAGCTTCCAGAGAAGCCTGTGAGTTAGGCCAGGAGTGAGGGTTGTATCAGGAAGGACCCACTCTGGGCACATCCCCCAACCTCCTTCAGCTTCCAACAGCCCCTCCCTGAGCTCCTCCCCAGAGGCCCCCCTCTGGGCCCTGGGCCCTCCCTGGCCTAGCAAAAAGGGTATTGATCTGACTCAAATGGCCCCGTTGCCACCTCCCCAGGAGGGCCTCCAGGTTTGCCCCTCCCCCTGGCCTTGGCTAGCGGTCAGAGGCAGCAGAGGGGGCAGTAATGCGGGAGGGTGACCAGCCACGACCAGCTGTGTGCTGGGCCAGCCTCCAGCAGTTGCACAACTCAAACGATTCGACTCCAGAATCTGTTCCAGGAAGACATGGGCCTGCTCCCAAGCGCCCAGCATCTTTCCCGATGCCCAGACACACCCACCCCAACCCCCGAGGGACCAGAATAGAGTCTCGATGGCTGATATGCCGAAGGGAATTATCGATGATTCTAAATGGAACTCGTTTCCGTCCTCAATGAGATACATTCGGGTTCCTTATGGAGTTTGCCAATATTCTAAGTGGGATCTGCCAGCCTTCGAAGGGGATGCTCTGCCTCCCGAAGTGGGAAATGAGCATCTCTGGCAGGGCTGCGGCTCCACAGCCCCCTCCCGCCCCTCTGAGACGGCAAGGAGAGCTAGCAGGAGTTTGGGGCGCCCTGGGCTCACCTCCACCAATGAGCCCCAAGCCCAGCCCCCTCCCTGCCCCCCACCAGAGCCTTCAGGGTGTGATCAGCCCGCAGGCTGCATCCCCACGTGAGGATGTGCGCCCACAGGCACGCGCCAGCTGGAGCACCTAAATACATCGCAGCCGGCGTTCCGCCCAGGTGTGTGTATGTGGGCGCATGTAACACGTACACCGTCTGCCTCTGTCCTGAAGGACCGGCGGCGACACCTCTGCGAGTGGGCACAGGTATCCACCCCCCAGATGTGTTCAGTAGGCACATGCCCGTCCGGGGGAAAGCTCTAAGATGCAAGTTGGTCGGTTGTGCAATCCAGATGGGCATGCATTTGCAAAAGCTGCAGCCAATGGTGGCAATCATCCACTGGGCTGGGCTTGAGGTCTGCTGGTCCTGATTTTTCTTCTCTCCTTCCCTCACTCCCACCCCAGGCTAGGGCAGCCCCCTCGCCTGAAATAACCAGAGCCTGTTTTCCTGGGACTGCTAATCGGGGGGGGGGGGGGTGGGGGGGGTGGGGGAGGGACCAGGAGGAGCCAAGTCCTGCCCTTCACGCCCCCCCTACACACACATACTTGACCTCCGCCTTGCTCAGTGGAGCACCTGGGTTCAAATTGGGACAGGCTGCTCTTTGGTAGAGTGAAGGTCTCCCCCTGCCAGACACCTGCCCAGGGAGTCATGCTGGTGAGGAGAGCCGGTCCCCAGGACCCTCAGCCCGAAGGTTCTTCCGAGGTGTGATCTGGGGCCTCAGAAGCTGCCCCTGGTAAAAGCATCTGCCTGTTGGCTCCTGGCTGGGAGGCAAACACCTCCCTCAGTAGCCCCTGAGAGATGGTCTCTGGAAACACAGGATGGAGGCGGGGGCACAGAAGCTGGCACCTCCCAGAGGAATTAAATTAGGAGGTGTCTCCCCTCCATCTCCCCTCCTCCTTCAGCCTCATGTGACTGGAACTTTCTCTCTCCAACAGCCTCTGGCCCTGCTTGTCAGCTGGCAGCTCCGGCACTGCCCGCAGGATGACCTGTAGGGCAAGACATGCCAACCCACCTCCCTCCCCTCCCCAGGTATCCAGCAGCTGCGACTACGTGTTTGTTAGCGGAAAGGAGTCTCGCGGGTCCATGAATGCCAGGGTCACCTTCCGCTACGACGCCCTCACTGCCCCCCTGGAAATGACAGTCTGGGTCCCCAAGCTGCCCCTGCACATCGAGCTCTCGGACGCCCGCCTCAGCCAAGTGAAGGGCTGGAGGGTACCCATCCTCCCCGACCGGAGGTACGGCCCCTCCGCGCACGGCAGACACGCGGGACACTCGCGGGGGACACGGCCCTGGCACGCAGTCTGATCTGCGTGTGTGCGTAAGGGCCTCGGAGTGCACGGTCTGCGGGTCGGTTATGCAATCAACCAGCGTTTCCTGAGCAGCTACTGTGTGCCAGGCACTGGCGGGAGCTTGGGATGAGAGATGAGTGTGGCCAGTGCCTTCCTCAGCCAGGTTCTGGGTCCACCAGGGAAGCCATCAAGTATATGCCACAGGCCACAGCGGATGCCAAAAGCAGGGAATTGAGTGGCACAAAGGGGAGAACCACCTCTTCCTCTGGGAAAAGTCAAGGCAGGCTTCCCGGAAGAGGTGTCTCTTAAGCCAAGTCTAAAAGGATGAGTGGAAAGGGGTTGTCTGGGGAACAGGGTGAGAGACCAGTCCAACAGCCGACAAAATGGAGCACACACGGCTGTACACACGTGCCCCAGCCTGGTCATGCCGAGGCACACGTCTAGGCACATCAACTGGGCACACACTAACTCACCCTGGGTCCCTCTCTGGGGGGCAGGCTCACACACCTGAGTACCCAATTGCAGGGCATGGACACCTACACTCATCCCACTCCACTCACCCACCCTGGCTGCTAGAGAGAAAAGCCAGCAGGGAGGAGAGGAGGGGCGGGGCTAGGAGGAGGAGCAGGCGCCGAGTGAGAGTTGGGCTCAGTTAACTCGGCAGGATTTGGGAAAGCAAGGCCGCGTGGACCAGAGCCTCTCAGACGTGAATGAGCACACGCTCGCCTGCGGGTCCTGCCCAGGGCACAGGTGTTTTGGACCAGCTCCTGGGTGGTGCTGCTGCTGCTATGAGCAGTGAGGACGCAGTAAACTCTGCAGCCAGGCAGCCGGGGTCTGAGCTCTGACCTCTGCTCTTCACCAGCTGGGCAGCGGGGGCCGTGCCCATAGCCTGTCCACGCCTCCCTCTCCTCTGTAACACCGGCACATGGACACCTACCGCACAGGGCTGTGGTGAGGACGGCTTTGTTAACGGGTAAAAGCACTCTGTATGGGTGAATATTCTAGTGCTCGATTCTTCTATGCACTAGCAAAGCAGGAGCCGCACGTCTCACCGGTGACTCTCCTGCGGTTTGCATTCTGGGTAGGCTGAGAATTCCCCAAATCATCACGTCCTGGGTCCCTTTGCTCACCAGTTGTTCCTCCGTTTCTCTCTCTCTCTCTCTCTCTCTCTCTCTCTATATATATATATATATATATATATATATATATATATATATATTTTATTGATTTTTTTACAGAGAGGAAGAGAGAAGGATAGAGAGTCAGAAACATCGATGAGAGAGAAACATCCATCAGCTGCCTCCTACTCACCCCCCACCGGGGACGTGCCCACAACCAAGGTACAGGCCCTTGACTGGAATCGAACCTGGGACCCTTCAGTCCACAGGCTGATGCTCTATGCACTGAGCCAAACCGGTTTCGGCTTTCTCTCTCCTTTTTTGCACTTCACTATGAGCAGCAAGAGAAACCCAAGCCGCCCCTTCAACACTTGGCTTGTGAAGCGCAGCTAACCATCCAGGTTGATCACTTACAAGTTCTGTTTGCCATGCAGCGTAGGACGAGCCAGCCCCGCGCCTGGCACTCCGTAACAGGGACCGCCTTTGCCTGGGCACAGCGTGGAGAGCAGGGCCAGGCACACGCTCAGTGCTGAAAAGAGGTCAGGATTTGATGCCAGCTTTCCGCAGGCGTCAGGGAAGCCACGCGGAGGCGGAGAGGGGCCGGGGAGGGCCAGGAAGGCGCCTTTACAGGAGGGAAGAGCCTGGGACTCCCAGCTCCACACTCGTCAGGAACAGGAGGGAGCCAGGGACAAGGCTTGCTGTTTGCACACTGCCATCCACGGGCGCCGGAGAACGGCTGGCAGGCCCAGGAAAGGGAGAGGGGCACGTGCAGGCTGCGGCCAGGGTGAGGAGCCCTGATCCAGTGCCCCCTCCCAGGTCAGCCCGGGAGAGCGAGGACGAGGACGAGGAGGACGAGGAGCGGCGGCAGAGCAGCAGCCGCGGCTGCACCCTGCAGTACCAGCACGCCACCCTGCAGGTCTTCACCCAGTTCCACACCACCTCGTCCGAGGGCACCGACCAAGTGGTCACCATGCTGGGCCCGGACTGGCTGGTGGAGGTCACCGACCTGGTCAGCGACTTCATGCGGGTGGGCGACCCCCGCGTGGCACGCCTGGTGGACAGCAGCACGCTGGCAGGCCTGGAGCCGGGCACCACCCCCTTCAAGGTAGGCACCAGGGCAGCGCCAGGAGCCCTGTTTACCCGTGGGCAGAGGATGCAGACGCTCTTGGGAAAGGAAACCCAGGATGCCTCTGGATTCCGGAAGCAACCCTCACTGGCCCCCAAAACATATTTTTTCCCCTGCCTGCCCCTCTGCCTGGTGTTCCGCCATCAGAGGCCAAGGTCCTTTAGCTTCACCTGGTGACGGTCTCCCTCCAAGCCTTACCGGTACGGTCAACCTTGCATCACCGCGTGGTCGCTGAGACAGGTGTGGGGGAGGCGGGAGAGCAGGTGAGGCTCGGGCAGCTGGAGGCCAGGAGAGGGAGTTGAGGAGCTAGGAACGCAGCTCTGACCTCCCTGACGTCTGCCTGAGTAGAAACCGTCCACCTGGGAGATGGCGAACAGGAACCCGGGGCTGGGATCTGCTCGCAGGATACTTGTTGGTAAAAAATTGAAAATTGGAAAGCTTCTCACTGTTTTTTATTTTTATTTTTTTTTAAATGTATTTTTATTGGATTTTTACAGAGAGGAAGGGAGAGGGATAGAGAGCCAGAAACATCCACGAGAGAGAAACATCCATCAGCTGCCTCCTGCACACCCCCTACTGGGGATGTGCCCGCAACCAGGATACATGCCCTTGACCGGGAATCAAACCTGGGATCCTTCAGTCCGCAGGCCGACGCTCTATTCACTGAGCCAGACTGGTTAGGGTGCTTCTCATTGTGTAGAAGACCAGGTTTCTGGTTTTACAAAATATAAATCTGGAGCACAGGGCCTGCCTTCCCACCTGGTGTCCCCTTTCCAGGAGCAAGAGTTCTCTCCGTTGCCCCAGTCCCCACCACTCCCTTTCGTCTCCCTCACATGGGGGTTGAAATATCAATTGCTATTGTTATTGCTATTGTGCAGGTCTGTTGTTTTCCTTTACATCTATCAACCACCTCTCTCATCTGTGCTCCTGCACCTCCCCTCCCCCCCCAGGGGGCCCCTGGACCCTGGTGTCCAGGTGCAAACCTAAGGCAGAGTCTCCCAGCCTGCCCACCCCCTGGACCTCTCTTCCAGTGGCACCCAGATGCCCCTGATGGGTGATCCTGGGGGTGCTGTTGTCCTGGCCTTCACCCACCCCTGCCCGTCTCTGCCCCAGGTGGTGTCCCCGCTGACAGAGTCTGTGCTCGGCGAGACACTGCTGACAGTGACAGAGGAGAAGGTCAGCATCACCCAGCTGCAGGCCCAGGTGGTGGCCAGCCTCTCCCTCTCCCTACGGCCCAGCCCCGGGAGCAGCCACACCATCCTGGCCACCGCTGCCGCCCACCAGACCCTCAGCTTCCTCAAGCAGGTAACTGGATGCCCAGCCCACCAGCCTGGGGCTTGGAGTGTAGAAGGAGGGCTCGTGGGCTCTGGCTTGCCCTTGTGCCATGAGTCCCCCCAAATTAGGGCTTTAGGCAATGGAAGATCTATGGACCCTCCATGCCCCGTGTGCCTGTTCCACCCCACCCACTGCCGTCTGCCCAGGGGGTCTGGCCAAGGTCTCGCTTTCTGCACCTGCCCCCTTGAGGTCTTCCTGCTAAGGGTTCCCCCTCCCAGATTCTCAGAGGGCCCATCACCTCTGCCGGTACCCCCAGGAATTACGCTCACCTAAGTCTGGAGCCCCAACTGCAGCCCACCCCCACCCCACCCCCTGAAATGCCAGGACACTGGCTACAGGCAAAGGCGGGAAGGTGACGGGCGGAAGCCCAGGGAATGAGAAGGTGGGTGTTGAGCACCAAGCCAGGAGTCTGGAGCCAGAAGCCATCTGCCTCCTCTTGCTCCCTGACCCCAGGCCAATCCCCTCTCTCTGGGCCCTGCTTCCCCGTTGGCAGGGAGACTGGTGTATCCAACGGGGGAGACTGGGGTTGGGCGTGTATTCTCAATCTCCTAGTAAGTGTCTGATGGGGGTGATCGCAAGGGCAGGCATGGAGAAGTGGGGTGACTCCCGCAGCAAAAGGGACTTGAGTGAGACCCAAGGCAGAACTTCCCTTTAGCTCATCCTGGGGTGGGGAGGGGGACAGGGAGGTGGGCAAAGGAATTCTCAAGGCAGCAGGAGGCCGTGGTGTGCCCTGGACCCTCTTCACAACCTCCCCGTCCATCATTCCTGAGCACCTGCCACCTGCCAGGCACATCCAGCCCAGGAGTCCAGCCGGGAGCCAGACACCTCAGTCCCTGCCCTCACAAAGCTGTTCCCACAGGGAAGCCAGCCAGGACTGGCCTCTGACGCCTCTCCCCTTCTCCTCCTCCCCTTCCTCCTCCTCCAGGAAGCCCTCCTGAGCCTCTGGCTCTCCTACAGCGACGGCACCACCGCCCCCCTCTCCCTCTACAGCCCCCGGGACTACGGGCTGCTGGTGAGCAGCCTGGACGAGCGGGTGGCCACGGTGACCCAGGACCGGGCCTTCCCACTGGTGGTGGCGGAGGCGGAGGGGGCCGGGCCGCTGCTGCGGGCGGAGCTCACCATCGCCGACAGCTGCCAGAAGACCAAGCGCAAGAGCGTGCTGGCCACGGCGCCCGTGGGCCTGCGGGTGCACTTCGGGCGGGAGGAGGAGGACCCCACCTACGACTACCCGGGCCCCAGCCAGCCGGGGCCGGGCGGGGGCGAGGACGAAGCCAGGGGCGCCGGCCCTCCTCCAGGCACCGGGAGGTCCCCCCCGGAGGCTCCGGGGGGGCCGGTCAGCGCCAGCCCCGCCGTGCCGCCCACCGAGGACTTCCTGCCGCTGCCCACGGGCTTCCAGCAGGTGCCGCGCGGGCTGACGGACCTGGAGATCGGCATGTACGCGCTGCTGGGCGTCTTCTGCCTCGCCATCCTGGTCTTCCTCATCAACTGCGTGGTCTTTGTACTGCGCTACCGGCACAAGCGCATTCCCCCCGAGGGCCAGACCAGCACGGACCACTCCCACCACTGGGTGTTCCTGGGCAACGGGCAGCCGCTGCGGGCGCAGGGCGAGCTGTCCCCGCCCGCGGGCGGCGGCGGCGGCGGCGGCAACCCGCTGGAGGCCGTGCCCGCCTGCTGCCATGGCGACCACCACAGCAGCGGCAGCTCGCAGACCAGCGTGCAGAGCCAGGTGCACGGCCGGGGCGACGGCTCCTCGGGCGGCTCGGCCCGGGACCAGGCCGAGGACCCCGCCAGCTCGCCCACGTCCAAGCGCAAGCGGGTCAAGTTCACCACCTTCACCACGCTGCCCACGGAGGAGCTGGCCTATGACTCGGTGCCTGCCGGGGAGGAGGAGGAGGACGAGGACGAGGAGGACCTGGGCTGGGGCTGCCCGGACGTGGCGAGCCCTGGGAGACCCGCCAGGCCCCCCCATTACATGCGCAGGAACAAAGAGATCGCGTAGAGGCGCCGTCTCCCGTGGGGTGGGCTCCGTGGGGGACTCCGCGGCCAGGACCCCGGCTCGCATGGTCATTGTGGGCTGGCGGCCGAGGCGGATCTTAAAGGCCCCGGCCTGCAGCTCCGCGCTCTGCGGGCGCCGCTCCCTCCAGCTGCCTCACAGGTGGCTGGCGCCTTCGGGAGCTTGGTGGGAGGAGGCAAGCCCAGCCCTCCTGCCTTTCCCAGCCCTCCTCCCCCTCGGAGACAGCCTGCCCCAGGAGCGAGGCTAGGGGGACCCCCACTGTGAGCGCTCCTGCCTCCCACGTCCCCCGGGACCCCCTTGTGCTGGGGGTTCTGTGGGGTCTTGTGTCACAAGCTGCACAAAGACTTTTTTTTTTTCAAACCACTATTCAGGGATTTCTGTCCTGCAGGGCGGGGAGGCAGCCGCTGCCTGCCCTTGCCCAGGATCTTGCTGTGGACAAGACTTCGGGGGGCCTGGGGGACACGTATAGCGTCTTCTGGCTTTCCCGGACCTCCTAGGACCTGGGAGCGGACCCCGGAGGGGTCTGTGGTCAAGCCAGGCACCTTCCTGAGAGCCCAGCACTCCCTCAACTGCCCCCAAGGGCTACAGACGTGGCCGGAAGGGGGAGGAGTCCTCAGCCCAGCCCTGGCCAAGCCACAGCCTGGAGCACCATGTCTGGGTGGGCCCGGGAGGCCCCTGCCCACCCACCTGCCTCCACCATAGCAAGGCCAGCACTCCGCCTTAGCCCTACAGCTCTGCTGGCCGCTGCTCCCTTCTCTGCACCCCCCCAGGAAACGGAATCCGGTGGGAATGGGGGGGAGCGCTGAGGGAGCTGGGAAGGACCTGGGGATGGGCAAGGCCGAGGGAGCTGGGCATCTCCCTGCCCCACCTCACAGTCACTTTTCTCTCGGGTTCTACCACCACTGTGTCGGTTTTTTTCTTAAATAAACGGAGGCGACCAGATTGGAGGTGGGGGCCGCAGCTCCCAGACAACAGACCGTGCAGGGTGGCTGGCTCCGTGTCTCTGCTTTATGTGCATGCTTGCACACTCACCCCGCACACGCGTGTTCACACATGCACACATGGGCACAGTAAATGACGTGAGAGAGAAACACTGCTGAGCCCCGCTGCCGGCCCGCGCTCCCCACTCCGGCATCCAGGGCCCATAGATCTCCGAGCTGTGGGTGGAGGACTTACCCAGCAATGTGCCCTCTGGGAGTCTGCCAGGAGTGGCTCCAGAGGGAGGGGCCAGCCTCAGGGCCTCCAGAGAAATGCCTTGGAGATGAGAAGGAACAGAGAAATCAAATCGGGAGAGAAGTGGGAGTGCAGTCTGAGCTGGCCGGTTCTTCCACAGCCTTCAGCCCCACCCTCAGGAAGCTCCTCCCACCCCTTCTCCATCCCCATCCTCATCCCCATCCCCATTCCAGTCCCCATCCCCATCTTCTTCCCTGTCTCCATCCCCACCCCCACCCCCATCATTCCCAGCCCCATCCCTGTCCCCTTTCCCCACCCCCATCCCCGTTCCCACTCCCATCCCCTCCTCTCAGGGAGGCCTCCCTTCTCCACGTTGGTGGGAAAGCTTGGTGGTCCCACAGCAGGAGCCAGGCAGGAGAGAGCCAAGGCTGTTGGGTAAGCCCCTCCCACAGAGGCCTTGGCTGGCCCTGGAAGACCGATCTCAGACACCGGCAGCAGCTCCTGGGGGCACAGGGGCATCTGACCTGAGGGGGAGCCTGGCCAAGGCTGCCTGGCCGCCTGGAGAGGAGGCTACAGCAACCACCTCGGGGAGGGGAGGAGGCGCAGCAGCCAGCTTCCGGCAGAAGGGACCAGGGGCGGGATAGGCTGCATCAGCACCGGCCCGGCACCCGGGAAGGACGCCTGCCTTCCACAGGCCTCTGCTCCTCGGCAGGGGCAGGCCTGGGCCCCGTGACGATTGGATATCTAATCGGTGCCCAGCAGCAGCAAAGCTCCTGGCACAGACAACGCCTGGCGTTTCTCACATTCAGGTTGGCTTTTTAGGTAAGGTGTGGCCCTGAGGGAAGACTAGAGATTGGCCAGCTCTGCCCAAGAAGGATTGGCAACAAGGAGTAGGTATAGCTCAGGGGCACGAGGAAGCTACAGGGAAGCCATGGCCGCGGCAGAACCCGGGGCAGAAGTACCGTCCTCGAGTCCCCAGAGCACCAGACACTGCTGCTCGGATGACCCCGTGGTGACCTCCTCCAGGGTGACCTTTGCCCACAGTGCCTAGAATCGGCAAGTGGTCAGCAAATGTTTGCGGACTGAAGTCCAAACAGACACTGTAAACGGCGTTCTCATCATCCCGCACGTGGGGATTTCTATACCCTGCCATCTTACCACGTGAGCAGTGCGAAAGTCACAGTCCCAGAGAGCTGGGGCGCAGGTGTGAGTCGGGGAGGAAGGAGCATTCTAGCCTGGGTGCGTGTGCATGGGGGTGGTGGTGCTGGTGCTAAAGTTGGAGTGTGGTTCCATTTGTTTAATCGACACAGAAAGCTCCTACTGTGTGCTAGGCTCTGCCGGGGCGTGTGAAAGGGAAGATGGGCAAGTCAGCTGACCACGGCCAGCTGGAATGGCGAGTGCTCTCTGTGGTAGCTGTGCCCTGGGTTGGCGGGGCACAGCGGAGAGATGGAGGCATTTTCAAACCGGATTTGCTGAGGACGGCGGGGGGGGCCAGGGTCATTCCAGGAAGGGAGGGGGGTGGGTGTGCAGGCCCAGAGGCTGCAGACCTGACGCCGTGAGCATTCTCTCACTTCCCGGTCTCTGCCCATGCTTGCCCCGTGCCTGGAGCAGGGGTCCCTGGGGATAGGGAAACATGAACACATCTGTGCAAAGGTGTGGAGGCCAGAGGGAGTGTGTGTGTGTGTGTGTGTGTGTGTGTGTGTGCAGGGGTGGGGAGTTAGGTAGCATAGATTGGGGAGTCAGGCTCAGACCCGAGCTTCAGATCATCCCCTTCTCCCTGGGGGAAGGAAGGAAGGAAGGATGGAAAGCACAAGGGGCCCCGTTAGGAAGACGCTGAGCAGGAAGGATGAGGGCCAGCGCCGAGGGAATGGAGAGCTGGTGCGTGGCTGGTTTTCAGCTGCGGACTTTGCCAACTATTAATAACCGCCCCCCCGGGCGTGGTCGCCACACCACGGCTCGAGAGCCACATGCAGCTCTTGGCCCCTTGAGTGTGGCTCTTCCACAAAATACCATGGCCTGGGGGAGTCTATTTTGAAGGAGTGGCATTAGAACACTCAAGGGGCCAAAGAGCCGCATGTGGCTCGAGAGCCGTGGTTTGCCGACCGCTGCCCCAGGGGGACGACGGGGAGGAGACTTGAGCTGCTGCCCAGCACAGATCTTCCCCTCCAGGGGAGACGGCGGGCGCCGTCAGAGCGGTGCCTGTCCGCATCCAGGCGCTCACTCACAGGGACATGAGGACCCACACAGGTACCCCTGGCCTAAGCCCCACAGCCAACCTTGACGGAGCCGGCTGCCCGGCCGGTGATTTGTGTCCCCAGCTCGTCATTCCTCACTCCCCGTCCGGAGGCCAGGGCTCAGAGGCAATTGCTGGGAACGGCGAGGCCTGACCCCTGAACACATTCAGGAGGGAGCACGCGGCGGGACATTAAGTTAACGGCCCCTCTGGAAGGGCCCTGGCGCTGAACTCCTCTTTGGAAATCTGTCTTCAGCCCCAAGAACGAACCGAGGGGCCTGATAAAGCACAGTTATTGACAAAGGGCTGCTCTGGGACACGGGGAACCAGGCCATGAATCAGCCTGCTGGTCAGGGAGCCTCCTCAGACAGCCAGGGCGAAGGCGGAGCCGGAGATGCAGAGCCAGGAGCCTGCCCCAGCTCCCTGCACCGCTCCACACGGCCAGCCTCCCCGGCCAGCCCGGAGGCAGCCCCATGCCCGTCTCCCAGAGATATGGACAAGCCCCTCCAATGTGTTCCCTGCAGAGAAGGCTTCCCTGAGCCGAGCGGGGAAAATGGAAAACGCACTAAACAGGCCACAGAAGGAAACCCACGTGCAGTGACATTTCCTAAGCCTGCTGGCGGGGGCTCCTGGGATCTGACTGTGCCTTTGCTGTGTGAACACCTTCCGCCCGTGCACTCCCAGCTCTGGATGCTTGTTGCCCTCGTTGTGAAAACATACACGTCACCACAACAAAAGGGGGCCCCCGGACTGCCCCCGAGAGGCCCCCTCTACCCTGTGTCAGCACCTGTATTGCTAACGAGCGCCTAGAGGGAGAGGAGTCACTATCCCGTCTCATAGATGAGACGTCCAGAGCACAGAAAGGTCAGGGGCTGGGACCCCGTTCAGGGACTCCTCCCTCCCACACACCTGCCCACGGGGTCTCCTTCTGCAGCCTCTCCCCTCCCTTTCCAGGCTCCGTTCCAGAATCCAGGTCCCTTGTGGGATGGCTCCATCCAGGGAAGGGGCAGGCCCAGGGTGGGCTGGTCTGTGTTTCCCCCCTGGGCAGTGACCACAGCCCCCAGGGAGGGGAGAGGAGGCAGGGGTACAGAGAACACCAGCTGTGGCAGCATTTCCAGAAAATCTCCGGAGATGCCAGCGCCACAGGGTGACCTCCATCCAGCAAACCCTGCTCCAGGAACACACAGCAAGGCACCCAGCGTGCCCGGGGATCAGTGTGCTGCCTTTGTCAGACGGGAGGGACTGGGCGCTGTGGGTGGCGGGGCAAGCACAGCACCCCTGCACACATCCCCCCCCCCCACACACACACACCACACACAGAGCACGCATCCTCCACGAGCACTCTCTGAGCACCCCTGCCCATTCACGCGGGCAGGCACCCACAGACAGCGCTCCTACGCACATTTGCGTGTGCATGCATGCATACACACATACACTCCCTGCAGGCACGCATGCACACACAGGGGCACACACACCCACGCATGCACACCAGCAGTTGTAGCCCTGCTCCTCCAATGCAGTCAAACCCCGGGGGAAGCAATTGCCTGACCACAGCGTGGGGCAGAGTCCTCAGCCCCTC